TTGCACATTACGATACACCGAGACATTCTCCGCGCATCTCGGAAGCTGTTGATCGATGCTGTTGTCGAGCCCTCGAGCTCGAGCCGATCGAACAGAAGATACGGAGTTTCGAACGAACGACGATGTGTTCGCGAGTACCTTGTACTGAAATACGCGAGGGATCTACGTCGCGCATCTCGCGTCGTTAATTAAGGGCGAAGTGAGCCCTGAAGAAGCGGGGGGGTGGCGCGGGGAGAGCTCGTCTACTCTCGCGACGAGGATAAAAAAAATATCGGGGCGGCTCGCATCGGCCTATAAGATAGGAAATAAGAGAGAACGGACGACTCGTGCGCGTCACGATTAATTACCTCGATTACGTGACGAGTGCACTCCGTCGGAATCGCCGTCGTTTATTGAGCGCGTTAAATTAAGTGGCGCGAGATTGTCGTCGTGCGTGTAATGGACGCCCGAGATCGACGTCGCGCGTCCCACTCGGAAAGAAATGCAGCGCACCGATGCACGTTGCATCGGACCTGCCCGTTACCGGGAAACGCGCCCGCCGAGGGCGGAGAGGGCCCTTCGAACGCGCTCCGCGTCGGAATTCCTACGTGCCTCGCGCCTGCCCGCTCTCGCGCAAACTAAACAGAGCTGATTCGGCCCGAATCGCCGCGCCTGAATCACGGCCGACTCTCGTTCGCGCGTTTACGTAACGCGCTACCGAGCGCATAACGAGGTGAATAATTTAAGATCGAGACAATTACGGACGGCTTCGTTCTCGGGTTTGGTATGCGCTGACGTCGGAAGTCGAAATTCGGAGCGGCGATTTATCGGGCGCTCCACGATCGCCGGCCTCGCGTTTGCAAAAGGATGTGGACGGAACAAAGGCACTCGGCACGCACGAGGATTCAGTTTGTGTGTTACGTTTCGTTAAACCTAGTTACGAGTCGGACGTGACCGGGCTTCATCATGAGCTACTCGACGTACGGCGAATAATGTGATTTAAAAGCGGCTCCGTGACGCCGCGAGGTTGCAGGTCGGTTTTCTTTGTGTCGCGTTTGGTCTCCGTTTTGAAATTTCCCTTCGAACGAGGCTGTCTTCGAGGTTGAAAAGAAATAGCGGCACCGTCCGAAATTCTCCATTTTTCGCGTTCAGCGGTTCTAATTCCGCGCCCTCTTATTCCACTTACACCAAACCCTTAATACTTTCGAAGACAGAATGCACAATTAAGATTTACATCTGAGGATTTTACAGTTGATAAACCTCCAGAGTTGGGAAGTAACTTGTTACTTGTAACGAAGTTATAGTTACAGTTACTTTTTTTGGTAACACCAACTTAATTTCGTTACTTTCTCTCCATCTGTAACTGTAACTCAACTCAGTTACATTTTCTTCGATAACTAGTAACTAATTTAATAATTACTTTATATATGTGTGAAACCTACGCAGATCGCATTAGGCCTTGCATTTGCGCGTAAACGCCTTTATCGACATTTTACAATTCAAATGCAGGTTTCATATTTTTATTTTCATTACAAGAACGTAATCGCAACGTAACGATTCGTTACTTTTTGAGTGACTGTATCTAGTTACATTTTTAGTACAAAAAAACTGTAACTGGATACTTTTATAAAGTAACTTTCCCAACCCTGTAAACCACCCACATATATTCTGATTAGCGACATTAATTTGTAATATTAGCGTGAGAGAAATCAGCAAATTCTCGTTACATCGTTACGAGACATCCAGCGGATAATTGATCTGGAATCCGGAAAATCAGCGCTGTTCACGGCCCCGTCGCCTTTCCCGATGCGCGCGTGCTCGCGCTGCGTAGGAATTAATAGAGCATAATACGCTTCGAGTCCCGGAAGTCACTCTAATAAGGAACAAAGACATTTTCCATGATTAACTATTACGCGCGGAGCTCGCAGCCGGATTTCTCGAGCGTGTGTCGACGTCGTCGGCTCTCGACGTGACGATTGGGCGTGGGCGAGCCGATCGATTACCGCGAAAATTGTTCTCGATCGCATCCCGTATGCATCGCGCGCATCGCCATTGTGTGTCCTCCCCGCCCTCCGCCTCTCTGCCCACGGCTCCGTGCCGTCAATCACGCGCGAAAATTCCGCAGCCGCGATGTCGCTCGAGTCTACTGACTTCGCGTCCAGCGAGAGAGGAGCGCGATCGGGCCGGACACGATCGCGAGTCTCGCTCAACAAAGGACGATGTCGTCGATCATGCAAATTCCGCGCAGCTATGCGATAAGAATAATAACATCCTACTTGGTTTTAGCGTTAAACCCGAGGCGAAATTTCGAGTCATATGTATAAGTCATCGTTAAATACGACATACACCCACAGAAAAAATTTCCGGATCCAACGCTATTACTCCGTGCAGCACACAAATGTTGAATCAACATCTCAGAAACGTTCTACTACAATATTGCAACGTTGCATCGATGTTACGAAATGTAGATTCAACGTTGAAGAGATGTCCGCTGAATTGTAATGTCTTGTAAACGTTACAATTCAACATTCAGAAACCATTGTTAAATTATATTGAGTTAACATTGGTCGCGTTTAGCAGAATATTTTTTACAACTGTTGCAAGTGCTGAAATTGAATTATTCCACTAAAATAATAATTCAATCTTAGCTCAGAAAATTTCTGACCGTTGCAAAAATATTATGTACATTTATATGTACATTTCATAATTATACATTTTTTAATCTATTTGAGTGTCAAAAATAATAATTTGTTCAAGATTGTTTTAAAGAATTACTGTACAAACATTAACATAGATTCAACGTAGAAAAGATATGTATACTTCAACATTCAACATTGCAACGTTTCAGCAACATTATTTTAACTTTCTGTGCTGTATGGGTACACTTCAATGTACCATAAAATAGGATATTGTAGAGAAAGGAATATTTTTATCTTAAGTGAAAAATTCTAAAATCTAGAATAAAATGATAGTATGTATCGTCTTTTGTCTAATATCGTGGTGCCAACTTCGTTGTAAGTTGGAGGGACACTTTATTCTAAACGCAAGAATACATAAACTTACATTTATATAAGTTACTCTTGTCTTAATCTTTTTTAATTAATCGAATCTAGCTCGAACCCAGTTCGAGCCCAGCGGCCACAGTGCTCACATGTACACGTATTTTTATAATTCGACTCCGTCCTATGTGACGACGATGACCCACTTACAACAAAAAGTAGGGTCGAAACGTTGTACTAAACAAATAAGAAAACATGCCAGTCGGGTTGACTATAAGTTTCCCGTTTTAATTTCTATATGCAATACTACGCTTATCTCCTGAGCACTTGTACAACGTAGATTTTCGCCTCGGGAATAGCGGCAATGGAGGCGAAAGTTGGAGTAGGTTCACATTTACATCGTCTCATTTTCACCCTAATCGAGTTAATCGTTTCGACTCCTTCTCTTACGGCCGACGACTTTCGTTCGGCGCCGTCACTCCCATGAGCGTAATTGTGATCCCGCACTCTTTCATTAGGCCCTTGGCGAGCCGCATGGCAAACATCTGCGCGCGAGCATTCGAACGAGAACCGAATGTTTGTCGTCGGCCGTTCCCCGAAGGTTCGAATTGTCTTACGAGAGCAATTCGAGCCGTCGGTGTCTCATTAAAAGTATTTAATACGGGCTTCTTTTCGTTCGCGCGTATAATGGGGCGAACGACGTGGCGAAACGTCGTGACCAGGTGGCTCGCCACCGTGCGCGTTCTCTTTAATAAAGCGCACCGATAATAGCATCCTTTAGGAGTCGCGATCTTCAGCACTGAAGACATAATTCTCGGGCAATCTAGGTGGTCGTAAAACCAGCCGCGGAGCGTTGACAATGGACCGCGGCAACGAGCTTCCTCTCGTCTCTCGTTCTTCCCCGGTGACTCGGGCCTCGTCCGCGGCCTCTATCCGCGGTCCCTCCGGCATTGTTCGATTGTTTTCCCGAGGAAAGAGTCGGCATGAGTTGCGCGAGGGTACGAGGGGAGGAGGAAACGGTGTCACGTGGGCACGAGAGTTGCACCTAGGCCGCGCGACGACCTTTCTTATCGCGGAATCGTTTACGTCCAGGCACGTTACGCCTCGCGCGAGACACCTACGCGGACTCGTGTTATTGTAATGTGGACGCTCGTTGCTTCTCTTCCACCTGACGATCGGGGGAAAAAAAACAGAGTACCGCGTGCGTTACGTACGCGCCGCATTTTCCTTCCTCCGCCTCGCTTGCCTTGTTCCGGCGATTAATCACCCACTGGCGCCGCGGCGAAAAGCCCTATCGCGCGTAGTCAACGCGGAAGTTATTACTTTTCGGAACTCCGAGACGGTGTACAGGGCGGTCTTTTAATAATTATGACTCGAATTAAAATTCCAGCGAGAGAGACGCCGCGCGACCGGCTCGCGAGTTCACGCCGGCTAAAATTAAACTGTAAGTCGCGAGCTAACGATATCGCGTGTGCGCGCGTACAATATCTACCTCCGAAAGGAAAACACACCTACAATTATAAGCCGTGTAATTTACGCGCGTATTTTTGCGCAGTGGCGCCGAAATTCCTGAGACGTTGTTCGGTGTAGAAAAAGTGTTTCGGCCCGCACGCTTGCGTGCTTCTTATAATTGAGCAAGACCACGAAAGCGACCTCGGGGCCGCTTTGTCCGCGTTAACGGCCAAGGGAGAGAATATACCGGAGAGCAATCATCGTGCGACCGTATACTCTCCTGAAAAGAAGCATCACTTTCTCCATATTATGTCGCGGCAGGAAATTGGCATTGTCGCGCGGAGATCACCGCGAGATAAACTCTGCTCGCATCCTTTTCTTCTCTCGCTCGGGTTTCTACGCCTCGGACCGTCTTTAAGGGAATTTCGAGAAATTACACGCGCACGATGCATAAACGTACAGTTAAAACAATTTCGATCCACTCCGCGGCGCAATCTCGTTTTAATAACGGCCTTTCTCTCCGGCCAGCGAATCGCCCTTCATTGAGCCCCTCGCCGTTTCATGTTTCAGCCGCAGAATTTGGTACTTACTGGAGAATTCCCGGACTGCGACGTCAAGCTATGCGACTTCGGTATATCGCGGTACATCAGCCACGGAGCGGACATACGGGAAATTTTGGGCACGCCCGACTATGTCGGTGAGTATCTTCTGAGTTTCGTTTCCTTCGACTTGAGCGATGGGCGCCGAATATGGCTGATGGCAGAGAACGATCCGTAAACGCTTAATGGCTCTTCCACACTGGACGCGATGAGCGATGTCGCGTCTGCCTTAAGCCACAAGCAAGTCTGTCTTAAGCCAACGACACACGATACTAATTTTCCTGCTGGTTTGCTTACGAGAATCAATAAGGATGCGGAGTTTTAGATCGGGTGACTTGAGGCTAAATCCTGACTGGGTCTCGTGAGCAGTCCAGTAAGAAAAATAGTGTCGCGCGCCGTTGGCTTAAGCCAACGATTAAATTTAATCGTATACGTAAGGCAAGGTGGAGAAAAACTTACGTCGCACAATAGATTTTCACGGCTTAAGCTTCTCTCTGCCTTGCCTTACGTCTGCGACTCAGACAGACTTAGGGCCTGAGCAGAAAGATTGTCGTAAGTATTTACGATTCTGTCGTAAGACTTAAGTCGTTGTCGCGGAAAGGCCTGAGCAGAATAGTTGTCTTGTACTCTTAAGACATAAGACAGTTATTGTGCGTTACCTCAAGACTTAGGCTTAAAATATAAACCATCGTCTTGAAGCTGTCTTAAGAGTATAAGACAGCCATTCTGTTCAGATCCGAAGTCAACGCACAAAGAATTGTCAGAGACGTGTGTCGCCTTGCGATGAATACGACATACGTCTATGACAATCCTTTGTGCGTTGACTTCCGCGACATCGGCTCAAGTCTTACGACAGAATCGTGCACTGTTACGACAATCTTTCTGCTCAGGCCCTCAAGCGTTTGCGGATAAGCGGCCTAGAAGCGTTTTCTGCCATCAGTCCAGGTCCCTCGTCACCGTGAAACGCGACCAGGTTGGAAGGACTCTCGCGCCAGCTCGCCAGTGATAAATACCCGAGTTTGCGCGAGAACCATAATCGTACTCGACACCTGCGCGATTCCCTAACACTACGGACCTGTCCGTGTCACCGAGGATAACAGTCTACATCCCGGCGAGGCGAGCCCGTTTTGACGCGGTTCCATATACAGACGGTAACGCGTACCGAACGAGAGCCCGCGGCCTCGGAGGTCGATCGGGGTGCGGCGGGCTCGCGCTTTCGTATGTCTGCGATCGGTTTGACGCTGAGAAATCGCTCGTACGGTTCGTGCCGCGTAGTTCCATTAGGGGTACGGGCGCGTTGCATAATTGAACAGAACAAGGCACTTCGCGCGACCGAGCCGGGAAACCGCACGTGGTCGGTTCTGCGCGCCCGATCGGCCAGGAGGACCCTTTTACGATCCTCGCCGCCGATTACCGTCGCAATTACATCGCACTACCGTCTAACGGTCATACCCTAAGTGGACGAAGGTGTTAGGTAATAGTAAGACACGATAATCTCTCACGGAGAAGATCGGAAAGTCTCGGGATGTTCCGGTCACGCCCTCGACGTTTACGAAATCGCCTGAAATTCTCCTGCAAAAACGGAACCTTTGCATTGCGAGGAGATTTAATTGAAGGAGTAACTCGAAAGTCGCGTATCGTACAGTGCGGTGTACTGATTCACTTCGGGCCGTTTTTTCCATGTGGCGAGCATGGCGCACGGAGAATGAGAGAGAGAGAAAAAAGAAGAGATCGGCCTTAATTGAATCGAGAAGCCCCGATCATTATTTCCTCGTCGCGTCGCGTTCAAGCGGTCGATTAGTGTCAGGCTGTGAGATTATCTGCAGAAATTAGCGAGACGCGATAAAAAAAAACAACGGCGCGCGGATTTTCGCAGCGATTCAACTGCGCGGTGACGAGAACGTGGAAAAGTTACGGCACGATTCGGTCGGTGCAAAGCCGGTCGATTCGAGCAATTATTACACGATTAACGAACCAACCGCGGCTCCACGCGTATCGTCGCGGCGATTACCTAGTTCGCGCTCGGGGCCTAATACGTCCGTGCGGTTACAATTATTATTATCACGTTGGAGAACGCGCGTGGCTCCATTAGGCATCGGCGCGTCGTAATAGCGGCCGCGGCGACGTAATGGCAGAAAGGCCGGGGGGAAAGAAGAGGCGTTATCTTCTGTTTTTTTTTTCGAATTTAATTACCGGGACTCACGCTCTCGTATACGTGCACGCGGATTCTGACGAGCATTAGGGTTCGATGCACCACGATATAATAACGGCTCATCTGCCGTGTGTGTCTCAGCCCCGGAGGTTCTGAATTACGAGCCGATCAGCCTGGCGACCGACATGTGGTCCGTTGGCGTCCTGCTCTACGTGCTGCTAACGGGATGCTCGCCGTTCGGCGGAGACACCAAGCAGGAGACGTTCTGCAACATCAGCCGGTGCCGCCTGGACTTCCCGGACGACCTCTTCGAAGACGTCTCCGAGGAGGCGCGCGATCTTATGCGCAAGCTCATGGTCAAGGACCCGAAGTAAGTAAATCGAGCGAATTCCTCTGAGTCGCTCGTCATTTTTACAATGGATGTTACCATAATTATATTATAATTAATACAAGTTGAAATAATGTAATCGCGCGACTGTCGCGTATCGATAACGAAAGTCACATTGAAAAAAATTTTTGTAAAATTACATGATTATGCTGGGTTTTTTTCCGACCCAGCATAATCGTGCAATATTACTACCCACATGGAAAATTGCAGACTTTTTTCTGTAATTTTGCATGAAAATTCAAGTGTTTTTACACAAAAATAGTAATTTCACCTATATTTTACCATTAATATGTATTTTCACTTTAAGAAATCTGGAAAAAAAAATTACAGTTATAATTAGGTAATTTTCCGGATTTGAACAAGTAATTTCCATGTAAAAGTACATAAATTTTTTTCAGTGCAGAGAAGAGATTCGCGGAGTCTAACTCCCGGATGAGAATTGTGTGGTGATTAGAGCCAGGCCGTGAAATACGCGCGTAGCGTGAACCGCGCGGCGGCGCAGATTCACAGCGGGGATTCATTGATCATCGCGTGGCGAGTCACTTCGTCGCCATTTATCTTCATATACTCCACTTGATTCAACGGAAAGATTTCCACTCGTTGTCCCGATCGGGAGCGTCGTCGCCGCGAATTATTGTACGTTATGCACCCACGTCTCGTGTCGCCCCGCCGGCGGCTCAGGCTCTCGCGTTCGAGTCGCCGATGCTCGCGTTACCGGATAACCGGCGACGTGCATTCCTGGACCGGTGAAAATAATTCCTTCGCGGAAGACTGCGGCGATCTACCGAGAACGCCCGGCGCTTACCTCGAAGCGAAAGGAGATAGCGCGCGCGCCCGCGCCGCGCCGATTACGTTATTAGTTATGCCGGTATGTCGGCCGATTTCCTGGAACGAAAACAATCGCACCACGTAGACGTATCGTCGCGAGCGGCGCGACATTTCGTGCCGTAACCGAGATGACGGCATCGCGGCGACGGTTACGATCCCATCGCTCGGCGTTCGCTCGGGGCGATTCGGTATCAGTGGGTCAACGCCGCCCGTTGATAGCCCGCGCGAGGTCTCACGCCGCATCTCCTCCACTTCGGGAGAAAGCCACCTCGCTCGCGAGAAACTCACGGCGGGTCCGCCGCGCGTTCCAGCGAGCTTGTCGCCGCGGAACGCCTGTTTTCCCCCGGCTCCGTCGGTGTCGGTGTCTTTTATCGTATAAATTCTAGGAGCGAGACGTATCCTCTAGCCTCGGGTTCGCTTTCATCGGCGTTATTGGCCTCGGCTTTCATTCGATCGCGCGAGGCGTAAGAAAGCGGATAAAAGTCGCGAGCTTACGCTCGAGAAATCGGACAGGGTGCGTGCAAAATGAATGCGTTTCGGATTGAATCGCACCAACTTCCGGTTTTGATCATCACGCTCCGGTGGATCGCGTTCGGTTCACCTCGCCTTTCTCTCTTAAGACTTGGCGGATTAGTGCCGCGCACAATAGCGGCACTGTGAGATTCCATCTCTCGAGATGCATTTATTAGCTCGCACGCCCGAGGGTAGGATCTGTCATCGGCCGATCGAGCCTGCTGTCGATCGCGAGTTCGCGAGTAAAACGATCGATGCCCACGTCGCCTCGCGAGGTGACTTTCTTCGAAGAAACTGGAAGAGCGACGGGGAAGGCGGGTGAAAAAAAAGAGAGAGAGACCTCGTGGGTTTCCTTATCGCGCGGACAGCTGAGAGGAAGTCGCTATCCGGAATTACGCGCGCCCTTCCTCTCTGGCGAACGCAAAAAGTTTTATCGCACGGAACCCGCATGGCTTATCGTCGTGTCCGACGACGCTGCAGTCTTCGTCGCTGACCTGCAAATCACTATAGTATTCAGAGGCTGCATCTCGTTGCCAAAAGTAATAGGGTGAAAAATTATCTAACGCAGCGATCATGGCGAACAGATTTACACGTTTGCTAATCATTAATAACATTATTTGCGCGATTACCAGAGTCGAAATGTTGGTACTATTTTGATACTTTTTAGGATAATTTACACCTACATAGACCGGTAATAACCTACTTTGATGACATTATAGTTTTTTACTCCTCCCTTGAATCTTTAATTCTAAAAATTGACTTTAGCTCCTACTTAAAAGGACCCACTTTCATGCTAAATTGGCAAAAGTAGAAATTTCCGACACTATCAGTTTTGAAACAGGAGTAAATTTTGTATTTGCAGTTCGACCTCTTTTACTATCTTAGGTCCTACTATATAATAGAATTAAAGGTTCAATATAGGGCCAAAATTTCGACTCGGGTATGCACGGTTTGGTACAAGTAAAAATGATACTTTGATTTTAATGGCGCACCAACAATCAATTGCGAAGTAAAGTAAGGTGACCAAATGCGGACCAACAATTGGACGAGTCGCTAATAAGCGACATTTTAAAGTGCTTCACTTCAATTTTGCTCTTTTATGTATTTACAACTTTGTGCTGTATTGTCGGTGTCGTAAAATGCATCTACGTGTCTTTATGTCGCTTATTAGCGACTCATCAAATTGTTGATCCGTACTTGGTCACCTACTTCGCAATCGATTGTACGTTTGTGCGCTATTCAAATTAATGTATCATTTTTTACAATAAATAAATTTTGGTCGACCTTAACTGGCACGTGTTTAATAAATTATAAAAAAAAAACGTTTCGGCCGTGGGTTCTGATCCTTTTCGAGCAATTTTCTTAATAAATAATCAAGCACATGTAATAAGAAGTCAGTTAATAAAAGTCCGAAGGCAGCGAGTCATTCTCCAGCCTGTGTAGTCACATATTTTTAACGTTTGCCGGAAAATTTTATAATTCTGACTCGCTACCTTCGGACTTTTATTAATTGATCTCTTATTACATGCGCTCGATTATTTATTAAGAAAATTGCTTGAAAAGGACCAAAACCCACGGTCGAAATGTTGCTGTGTATTTTTTGAATTTATTAAACATGCACCAAATAAGGTTGACCAAAATTTATTTATTGTCATTAATTACTGGCAACTTGGAGAGATTTCAAGGTTATCATTTTTTCACTTGTACCAAACCGTGCGCATAATCGCGCGATTAATTCGCGTTGTTAACGATCGGCAGACGTGTAAATCTGTTCGCCGTGATCGCTGCGTTAGATAATTTTCGCCGACAATTCGCCCAGCTTCTGTTTCCGCTTCATAAAAAGTATTACGTCGGTCTACCCGGTTTTCCTCAACACTTTGCCGTTCGTTCTTTCGCGCGATAACATTAACGTAATTGCGAGAGTGGAAGAGTTAATTCGCTTCTTCTTGCGCGGGTCTTTTCGACGGTCCCGAAATAAAGGGAGGGGGCCGCCCCCTAAAGCACTTTAGCGGCTCCACCATGGGTCGGCATTCCGCGGCGTTTACGCGTTACGCAATTCGCTGCTCCGTTATTGAAGATATCCTGTCCCATTCCGCCGTGCCGGAAGTCAACCGATACGTTAGCTAACGTTAATGGTTTCTGCGCAGGCCGCGCGATACGTGGACGCGCGGTACACGCGAAAAACGTCCCGGCGGGACCGCCACGGTGATGGCCACCGTCCGATAAATGCTCTGCGATCCGCCTAGCGGAGGTCGTTTATGCGACGGGTCTCTTAACCTTTTGACCCCCTCTCGCTCCTCGAGTTAACGAGGACGACGAGAACGTGGTCGTTCGCGGAACGAGCCTGTTGTTAGGATATATTTGTTGAGGAGCACCGCGCGCCGTGCATCGCAAAGTAAGCGACGTAACAGTCGAGCCTGTTATCTCGAGCGTTCTAACGGGAAATGATCGGGAGCAACGATATCGGGGCGAAAGAAGTCTAATTCTAGCTATAAAAATTGGCGACCAACTCGCGAGAGTGTTGAAAACGATTCTCTCCAAGCAAGCGTCTGCTCGTCTGTTCGCAGCGAACGTCTGACGGTGACCGAGTGCCTGCAGCATCCCTGGTTCAACATGTCCGAGCAGCCGCTGGCGCCGTTGACGACCTGCCCCTCGTCGGACGACAGCCCCGCCGCTGTCCTCGAGTCCACGACGACGGCCCCGCAGGAGGACAGCGCCACGCCGAAATTGCCGATCGTCCATCAAGGCCAGGTCCCGTCCGCGCCGAAGGGCGACGGCGAGAAGCAGCAACGGTCGTCCACGACCGGTCTGTGCCACAGCGCGGAGGCTCCGAAGCCGACGGCGGGCGCCCGCGCCGTCTCCTCGCACACGGAGAATCTCTACTCGGCCTCGAGATCGCTGTCCAAACCCATCAGATTCGGGCTGAGCCCGGACCGGAGGGACACCTTCAAGAGGAACATGGACTCGCTGGCGCGAAAGTTCTCCGGCAGCGTCCTGCCGGAGATCGTCATCATCGAACCGTCGTCGTCAAACGCCGGCGGTGGTATCCAGCAACGTCGCGCCACCGCCACCCACACGATGCCGGCTGGCGGCGGCGAGGTGTTCAAGTGCACGCCCGTGTTCATCCTCGGCGAGGCCGAGCAGCAGTGCAGCGACAGCGGCAGCGACACCGTCTCCGAAATCTCGACCGACAGCTCGAGCGATCGCAGCAGCATCTACTCGGACGACTCCCTCGATTTTATTCTGTACGGTAAGAGCCAGGGTAGAGCGAGCTTCCCGTTCACCGCCGCCGACGCGACCGCCGACAGGTGGGAACAGAGGCATCACCATCATCATCATCATCATCATCGCGCCGCCAGAGTGTGGCCGCGCGAGTGTAACGGCGTCGTCAGCAAGGCGCTCAGCCGCTTCACGTCGGAGACCTCGTCCGGCGATCCTCGTGTGACGAAGATCGCCAAGATCCCGATGACAACGCCGCCGACGGTGACGGCGTTGCGCGGCGGCTGCAGCAAGGCCGGCCTCGAGGCGCTCCGCGAGCGGGGCGGCAACCTGGTGGTCATTAGGGAACCCGTACGCGCCGGCAGGTACACCAGGTATAGCGAGGTACAGTGCGAGTCGGTGCAAGCGCGAATTCGGCGGTTCCAGGTGCACGAGGCCTCGTAAGACCGTGCCGTCCAGCTGTGCGCCAGCAGCAGGTGCCGGCAGTTGAATTGTATTAGCGCGCAGGTGGACGGACGTCTCTCCGGCAAGCCTCCTCCGAGGAGCCGCCGAGAGAACGGGGGGTTCGAGGCGATTGTACATATCGCGTGTACAGTGACGCGAAGAGCAGGAGGGAGGTTTTAAGCAACGAGGTGGCGCCCGAGGGATGCGCGAACGAAGGATAACGTGGGACGAGCTCAATTCCTCGAGATTTGCGAAGGCTGTGACGACAGAGAAGATTCTTAGGAAGGTTCAGGATTGCCCGTCTTTCTGTAACAATATAGGACTATGAGCTTTGTGAAAAATATATCTGGACTCACGGTTCCTTTGATCGTCGCGGTAGAACAAGAAAACACCGAGAACGATACATTGTCACGCGGCAGCGGCGTTTGGAAGCAAAAGGGATTACTTCTGAATTGATTTTTCGCGAAGCGCATAATGCTGTGATAGCGCGTTAGGGGAACGTGAAATGACGCATGATGAGTGTGGCGTGTCCTCGCTTTACCTTTGCAAGAAACACGACGCAACGGTGAAGGCTACGCGTATCGTGGGGATATTGATTCGAGCAGAAGATTTTGCGAAAATCGGCGTCCTGCAACTCGATCGCGATATAATATTAAGCAGTATTTCGTAGCGAGAACAAAAGGTTGTACGTACCACACCGAGCCTGATCTCCAGAATCCTCGAACAGCCTCTCGAAGCCCCCTGTCCCGACTTTCGCCGGACTTCTTGGGAACCCGAGACCGAGATTGTAAAGGGCGTGCGCGAGCGTGGCCCGCGATGCGGGATCTTACGTGCGCAAAACGCCTCTTTACACACGCGTGCCTTCGCGAAGGTGCCGACGAGAGAACGTAGCTTGTATCATATCAAAGCGAACAAACGGCTGTTGTAAATACGAGTGAGAGTGTGTCGTCTGTGTGTGAATGCGTATACGTATGTATGCGTGCGTGCATGTATGCATTGACTCTTCGTGGAAGCGAGCGGCTTCAAAGAGGGTGGTCTTGATGTACATATTATTCGAGTAATCGGAGAAGGTACGAGCGATAGAACGAGTCGCGGGTATGCGTGGCTCGCGAGAAGGTGCCTGCGGTTGCGGTTGCGACGCCGATCACAGGGGTGGTGACGGCGGAGATCCGAGGGAAAGGTCACGCGGAGCCATGGCGACGGCTGGCTGCCGGCTATGGGAAACGCCGCGTGGCGAGGATGGTCGGGCCCGTAGGAGTCGATTTTCCGATAATCCCAGCGGATTCCGCCGTCACCGGCCGACGAGGCGTGAAGGAGGAGAGAAGGATGTGTCTGCGAAATCGAGACTTGGAGCGAAGCTCTCCTTAGGCCGCCGTTATTGATAGACTGATTGATCGTCCTTTCGAGCTGAGAGAAACTAGAGTTGTATCGCGTGCGCATGCACCGAGAAACGCGGCGCGTTGCACGCTTATCCAAAACAACGTTGTAATTCCGAGAGGCGTAACTTTCGAAGCACGACTTACGGAAATAAACACTTTCGCATATCAATGATAAATTGATAGAAGTTACGTCTTATCGATACCGCGTCCGTTTCGAAAACGCTTGTCGGAGTTCGGCGATTCCCGGACAAGCTGATGAAAAATCCCGCGATAGCCAGCAAGCGCCAGCGATATTATATCTCGGTGCATCGCGCGCGGTTCCGTCGGAACGAATCGCCATATCAATCGGTCGTCGAGTTTAATGACGACCAATGACAATCACAGATAAACCCATTTCGGTGCCTTCCTTAAAGGAAAATGACGACGCGTGTGCGCCAATGCGTGCGCACATCACCACGTGCCTACGTTTTACTTGTCCGGTACGCGCGACACTTTTCGAGTCGCACGAAGACTGTGATGCGCAGCAGGGAGAGAATGCATGTCTGAAGAGTGCCTTAATTGCGCGCGGCTTTGCGGGAGATGAAAATTGTGAGCTCGGACGAGCCTTCCAGGTAATTCCAGCGGGCTCGAACACGGCCACGGCGGAAGTGATTAACAATGTCGAACCACCGAAAACCCCCTCGTCGCACATTATGGAGAAGGGACCACTTTCCTGTAGGCCGTATATATCGCGTATATATACGTTTTTCCTATTGTTAAATATCTCTCAATCATACTGTTGAATATGCTTCGTGAATTACCATCCCCGTTGTTTTTCCTTACTTGAAAATTGTTCGTCGCGAGCGGAGAGGGAAAAAGAAGAGAAACAACGAGCGGCCTCGTCTGCTCTCCGGGCTCTCGTGGACGCGCAAATCGAAATGGTACATACGCAAACTTATTTATCCACGGAATTCATCATCGCGCGCAAATTGAAACGCGCTAATCGCTCGCTCGCGTAGCGCAGCGCAACGAATGCTAGTCATAAACACGTCCCGTCATCTTTCTCACGCTCCCTTCCCCCTTTTTTCGCGCCTCTAATTTTCGTTCATTTCACCGCGGACACACGCTCGTTGGCGAGACGCTAACGAGCGGCCTGTGTCTTCGCCGGGCGAGACGAGAAAGAAAGAAGAGCGGACGAGAGAGCGCTGCAAAAATGACGACGGACCCGGTCGGCGAGCCTTGGCTCCGGGCAGCACGAGAGAGACTCGTCCAACCGTGAATCTGTGCATCCCCTTTGTACGAATCCACGGAGAATGCGCGAGGACGCAGAATTCGCGCCCGTAACTGACGTTTTAATGCGACGAAGCCTCTAGCAACACTCCCGAATTTCCTTCCGCGTTGCTCGCAAGTGTCGATCGATGTTGTTCGGTTTTTGGTGGTTCTCTTTGAAACTAAAGAGCACGCATTTTGATACGTTGACTATTTCAGGACCATGCGCCGTTTGTGTTGTAAAAATATTGAATTTTCGCCGAATCTTAATTCACCGAGCGGGGTGTGAAGGAAGCACCCTCGGAATCTCTCGCGAAGCGAAAATCTCGTGATGCGTAATCTTCTCTTCGACCGCTGTTTCGATCATTGCGGTAGGAAGGAGGGGGGGAAGAAACACTTTCGACCTCGTGCACCGAGGCGACTGTCCGATTGTTCAGCCCCTCCGACCACGACGGCCTAGCGATCGACGCGAAAACTAGCGACATGTTCGTCGACGCGAACATCGGACACGTAAGGTGCGACGTACCAAACGCGCGCGTACACGCACAATTCGAACGCGCGCATGTCTTCTCGAGACGCATATATGCGGCGCGAGACGCGTCTCCGGGAATCAAAGAGCGGGGATAGACCTGTGTAAAATACATAATTTTGCTACGACGGGCGAGGGCGGCGCGACCCGGGGGAGCCCCCTTAGCTTCGCTGGCGGTGAATTCGCGGTTATTTATTCTCTTCTTTGTGATACGTCATTAGTCAGAATTAATCAGTTTTCGCTTCACGTCTTCGCGTCAATTGAAAACCGCAGAAGCACGTCGGCTCTTGCCTCCCATGCCACTCGGACGCTCCGCGCCGCTCGGCATATTCTCTTATCATTATTATTATATTATTAAATATTCTATAGAATTATTATTATTATATTATACTATTATTACTACATCATTAATAATTAATCGCGAAGATTGCGATCGCGCATGTAACTGCTAAAAACCTCCTGTAAATACTTCTGTCATTGTATTAATTTTAATAATACAGTACGAAATAAACGCAACAATACGTTCAATGCGCCGCGTGTAAAATTTCTGATGAACCTCTCCCTTCGGGCAGTGCTGGACTATTCAGTAACGTCCGCGCTTTTTGTGCGTTAAGCGTCGAGCTCTTCACGTGCGGCGATGCCGAACGGGTTGCCTAGTGAAAGGCTGCTCTCACGCGTTACATTAAAGTTACACGTGCCGTAACACGCGGAGGACCTTGGAAAAGCGTTTTGTCTTTCGTCCGGTTCATCTCTCAATTGTTGCCTCATCAATTATTCATGTTCCTGCAATTACTTGCTGGAGGCCTCTTTACAGGTTTCGTTAATCGCGCCATGTTCGATCTCGCGTCGGATTCCCCTACGTGTCCGTGTAGAAGGGATGTTTCTTTAATGAGATACTCCCGGTGGGCAGCCACTTCCTTCCGAGAGGCGGCGATCGAGTAAAAACTGACCTTCAGTCGGATTGAAACTCTCGGGTCTCACTGGAGCAGCGCGCAGCTCGCTGCGCCACGATCGCCGACGTCTCGTCAGTTGTTTTTACTTTTTATTTACAGGCTCGCAACGTCCGTTGGTGCCTCGCTAAAGTTACTCGGATTAAGGATAAGGGAAGGCGTTCTCCCGCGACAGGGATAAATTACGCGCTAAATTTGCATTCCGCCGTAAGTAACGCGCCGGAGCAAGACTTCCCGGGACGTCCTGGCGTTACGTGCGTGGTCAACGCACCCGGGGGCAGGGAACAGGGGATCCGTTTCGCGCATTAATGCTGCCGCGGTTGTTCCTACCGGCGTTATAATAAATAATTCAACGCCTCCTCTCGCGGGACGACCGAAGGGTGGAGAATGGCGATGCGATCTGAGGTAAGGGACGCCGTGGAAAATCTCCGTTGCGCGCGCGCGTTCGCCGGCCCATCGATTTAAAATCCGCGACACACGCGGAGGGCGAGCGGCCCTGGTTTCGCGTTTGCCCACCGATATGGCCAATGGAACACTTTTTCCGAGAACGTCACCGTTTATCCTATAAATAGGCGTGCATTAGCAGCGCACAGCTGCCGTGGTGATTCACCTCTAAGGAGTTTTCTGCGACACGGAGAAAACATCTGGAAAATGTCTCGGTTTTCGGAGGATCGTGCGAGGCGTGCGGCTCGCTCTGTAAAACCGATCGATTCTCGATCGAAACTTGGAATTGCTACAAAGCGGAGACGTGCGAACTGTTCGGATACGAATCGAATCGAGTGAATTTACGGGAAGGATTGCCTTTTAGAATTTACCCTGAAAATCACGGTGGTTAGTCACGTAATATAATTTGTTCCTATACTACTTAAATATTTTTTCATGTTACTTTTAAAAAATTATAAAATGTGATCCCCCAAGTGATTTGCATAGCATATGTATATACATGTCACAAAATAGAACATAAAATCTCATAAAATATTCACTTTACATTATAATACTTTTACGGGTCTTACGGTATTTCGAAGGATTTTATGAGAGCTTTTTGAAATTTTATTATGTATTTTAGTGAAATTATTAAAGGCATTGTGGCGGATATTAACACTTTTCATTGTAGCAGATATTAATGAGAAAAACTCATAAAATTCTTTGTAATGCCACAGTGCCTTTACGGAAGAAACACTCGAGTTTTGAGCGTTAACACTCGATTGTCCGAGTTTACTCTCAAATTTGGGTGTAAGTCTTTAAATCTGGGCGTTTACGCCCAGATTTGGGAGTAAATTTGGGCAATCCAGTGTTAACGCTCTAAATTTGAGTGTTTTTTCCGTAAGGGTGTCCCACGATTACCATGATTTTCAGATAAGTACTCTCTGTGCATGACTCGAATCTGAACTAAAAGTTCTTATTCAGATGGCGCAAACGTGAATACCTCGAAAATCAAGGTAATCATGAGACAACATAACATTTTGAAGAGATTTACGAGAAATTTTACCATACATTTTACTAGTAGAATTTTATGAAATGCTACGCTGTCTCACGATTACATGATTTTCAGGGTAAATTTGAAGAAAAGCTTCTCTCTCTCCGTGTAACGGCCTTCCTCTCTCATCGCGAGTCTGTACGACAATCGCGGTGCATTCCGCGGTACATCTGCCGAAATAATATCGGCAGTAATGACGGGATGAACGGAGAAACCGCAGTTGCACATTAATGCGATTGTGTCACCGGGGGGGACTACGTAATCGGCCGATACAGCGAGATACTGCCATTTTAATAGATAATAACAGTGCGCTCGCTATAATCGCGCGTTTTGCAATTGAATGAAACGTGATATAATCGCGCACAAAACCGCGCAGGCTTCACCTTGAGGTGCCCACGCGTCTGCATATTCAAGAAATTCAGAAATTGACCGCAAACTTGTAGCAAACTTCGATCCTCCGTCGCGGATGGAAATTACTATGGGCCTCGTATTATTCGCGTCTCGTTAAAATTGTCATGGTTTTGTGAAACGACGTCGCAGGACGAGAACACGAAGTTATTTTCACGCACGGCGACGTGATCTGTCAAGTTGGCGAGAAAATGCCGATGGGATTTTCTCGCAGGTAATACGGGGCGCGAGGTGGACGGTTTTAGATTTCCCACGCTTTCGTTTACGCCGCGAATCGAATTTTGCGGGAAGAGACGAGAGACGACGGCGACAACGCCGGCGGAGGCTGCGCGAGACTCTCTTTCCACTTTATCCGCCGTGACGACGGCCTTCGCGGACTCTCAGCCTCTCGGTATGCCGATAATGGAAATTGCCGGGGGCGACGAGCGATTACTTGGCGATTCGTGGCGCCTAGAAATTGCTAAATCAACGCCGGCGTGCCGTTCGTAACACCTGGCGCGACCAAATAAAGTCGCGCCGCCGTTGTCGAATGATAATTCGTTAATTAGCGCGCAGGTCAGGGTGCGAGTCGACCCGCGCTGCGCAATCACCGGGAAAAGAAAGGGAGAGAGAGAGAGAGAGAGAGAGGAGGATGCAATCGTGCCACGTGGGCTCGCTCGAGCTCTCGAAACGGCCGGCGCGAGAGCCTCTAATTACAAGGCAGGCCGATCTTCATCCTGGCGGATTTAAGGCCGATTCGCGTCGCATGCCGCGTACATTAACGCGACGATTAAAGGCCGTTTCTGATTTCTCCCGCGGTGTGTCGCGCGAATTTTGATTAACTTTCGCTTTCACAGTTGGGGGATAACGGTGAACCCTATAGATCCCCGTCTTGTCCCGGTTTTTGTCTCCGTTCCATTGCGAGCGTGACTCACGCTCTTGCGGAAGTATCTCGCGATCGAGAGCGAGGAAGGACTGGAATCTCTCGGGACGACGACAGCGGACTGCAGCTGATCCGGTTCGCGGATCGACAGGATCGACTAGTTCGAAGACCCCGTCTCTTCCGATCATCCTAAGAAGAGCCGATACTTTCGCAAATTCTAGACAACGTTCGCGTGACAAATCCCGCCCTGTAGACGGCGACGTGTCGCGATTATTAGGCCCGGTTTCACCACCGTTGCTTAACTTCCCAGATAGCAATGCAATGCATGTCTAAAAGACAATTTAATGCCGTCTTAAAGATGTCTTTTAGACATGCATGCTATCTGGGTTCAAGCCTATCCTAATTCGTTCTTTGTCTCTTCCCAGGTTCACACGTCGTCGATCCCATCGATATCGATCATGATTCTTCGGACCGTTTGATTCGATGACGACTAGATTCCTCATTGATTTCGTAGGAAGATCCGCACAATACTTTGTCGATGTCTCAACGTATAATCGACATCTATTAGATGTATACGTGTCAATGTGATAGAAGATATCATGTCAGTGTCGACCAATTGATGATTTATGATATTCAAATCGAGTCAATAGATGGAGATGTTGATTCCACTTCAATATGATATCAATTGAAAGACGACTTTTCCCGATATCATGATGAAATCTTCAAAATATCATCTTGATGATTGATTTGCACATGATCTCAACTTAATTTCAATATGATATTCACCAGATTCTTCATCGACTTGTGAGCCCGGGTTTCCAACTGTTACTTTAGAAAAAGATAAACGTGAATGAAACTAAGGTTGAAGTTGAGCGACGTTTGGCGAAACCGGGCCTTCAGGACCAAGTTCTAGCATCGTGGACCCAGGCCTTTATTATAGACGCGAGAGAGTCGGGTCGTTTCCAACATCGCATCTAATAATTCTGAGATCGTAAATCGCGCAGGGAACCCAGCACGTGCGTAGGACGCGCTTACAGCGCAAACACACCGTGCGGTGCCTTTTCTCTTCGATGGTATTCGACAATTTGTACTCCTCGCATTCTCCGCGCTCGTGCAAATAATGTCCGCGGCCTTGGGGATCCGCGGAATTGCCGTTCGCCGAATTTGGCATACTGTTTTAACGAAGATAAAATACGACGCTCGCGCAGATAGAGGTTTTCCCCAATCGGGTTCCTTAATTCGTGCCCGCGCGCGTTCCCTTAATTCCCGACGAGAATGTTTGGATTATTTATAGCTGTCGCTGGCTGACCACCCGGTGAGAGCCTCTACTCGGCCGGGTTTTTATCATATCGCTCTCGGGTTCTAATTTTACTCGCGTGCGACGTATAAAAGTTCTCGGATCTTCAAAAGGAGCCACGTGTTCCGGCGCTCGGAATGGAAGGCGCCCGAAGCTTTCGCTCTCTCGTCCTCTCGCCGGCCGGCCGGTCGCGCGTCAAGCTCGTAAATCGCCGATAAGATTTTTTCCCCCGCGGGCAGCCGTGCCGGAAGACTCGTTGAGGTCGTCGGCGCCGGCTTTCCGCCCCCCGTTTCGTCCCGACGCGGCACGGCGCGGCGCGAAAGTGAGACGTGCCGATTTTACTGCGTCCCGAAGACGTCAACGTATCGCGCCGAGGACAGTGCCGCAAATAACGAGCCATCAAAGTCAACAATGACGCGCGGCTCGAATTTATCGCATCTGCCGACGGAGGTAGGCCTATAAACAGAGATCATTAAGCGCCGCCGACCCGCGCGTCTGGTGCGCGCACACGGCTCGTCCCCAGCCCCGGGGATAAT